TCCAATGGGTGTTCTCTAAATTTCCTTATCAGCTGTATTTTGCGAGTTTATCTCAAAATTCCATATGAGCTATTAGCGGTGCCTATTTTTATCCTCAGTGGTTTGTTTGGATCGAAGACTGGATGGACTTGTGTAATCAACTGGCCGGTTAAAGAAAATGCCGTCTATTGCAGCAGCTTAACGCCTTACTACTTAATGCTCATATTAATCGATTTTAGAACACAGGTCCCAGAAACTCAGAATTAGTATATAATGTAACAGCCTTGGGTAAATCTTTGTCTTTATGATTTCTTCTTTCTTTTACCTTTCTAAGGCATTCAAAATATTGCCAAACGCCTAGAGATTGATATAGTACCGGCAATGGTAGGTTGGGCATTCCACAAGGCGGGTTGGGCGCACCCCGAATATGATGGCTTTGTAGTCTGTCGTGAGGTCTTGCCAGCCCTTGTGGACGCTTGGCGTGCGGAACGCATGTCTGCTGCCGCGTCTGCCGCGGCTGATCGAACCGAACGTGCTATGACAAACTGGAAACGTCTGACTAGAAACTTGTTGCTGTGGCAACGGATAGAATCGAAATTCCAGTTGGCTAAGGCGACAGTACACGCTGCACCTCTGGTAAGTCACGTCTAAATGTTTTTTTCCTAAAAATTTCATTGAAGATTTGCAGCCTTTTTGACAGCAAAAGCTTTTTATTCGCTTATCATATTTCACACTAATGTTTCCTTAAAAGCTTCGTGTCATATTGGAAGTTTAAACTCGTACTCAATTTCATTTGTCTTCGGTTTTTCAGCCATCTAGATTAATTACCGTAAATTTCAATTGAGTGAAGTCCGGAGGGTTAGCGAACCCTCCGATTTTAATGCTTGCTAACTGCAACCTTTTTATTATTGCGAAATTGCTTGTGCGTAAGACCTTCGACGAGGTATTAGTAATTGCTGACCTGCCGCTGTGCCTAGACTTGCCTAACTGTTAATCAAGAAGGTGTAAAGATGTTCTCTTAGTTCATATTTTTCGGAAAATAAAGTTTCTGTCATAAGCCGCTTTTATTGTTTGGGTAATTTTTAACTGCAGGTATTGGTTGGTGGTTGCT